TGAAAAAACCATAATCGCATCACCAAAAATGAGTCTTGTCCTTAAATGCAAGTAACAAAAGATTTTAAAAAGGAGAATGTTAATGGTCCCAATAAGTTATTCAGACCATCAATGGTTTGGATAATATGGCTAGAGATTATTTTCTTAATCCACCCCACAAATTAGGGCTCAATGCCTACTAGTTACCCAAAATTCCTACACCCGTAGCTTTGAATACCAAACAACCCAAGTGTAAAGTAACTAACCTTAAAGTTACCTATTACTCATTTACTAGTAATACGTTCTTATATCATCATTAGGCAATATAAGACGTGCAATTGATATTGTAAGCCTTTTAGGTCACTAAAGGAGTGAACAATGTAAGTCTAAGCTTGAAAAAACCATAATCATATCACTAGAAATGAGTCTTGTCCTTAAATGTAAGGAAGAAAAATTTTTGAAGAGATGAATGTTCTTGAATGGGAGGTACTTATTTGAATCACAAACGATATGAAATAATCTACTCAATGAGCCCATGGTTGTGCTTGTCAATAGGATGGCGGGAATTTTTCGGTCTACTTTTCCTAATCAATACCAATTGGAATAATTCCAACTCAGATCTTCACTCCTTATATAAACTAGGTATAGTTTATATATCCCATAATTTTTCAAATCGATTTAGGTCTGGAAATTTTGAATATTAGGCTTTATTAGTTGGCCAACAACTGTGTTATATAGATAGATATTGATATGAAATAATTTAAATATTATTTTGTTAGTCTATTTTTATTTTTTTAGTATTTTACAGTTTTGATGCAAATATTCAAACCAATATCAGTCTAAACTAATTTGGTGCTCTTTGAATAGTTTTGGTTGCCTTGTTGGTGCCAATATTATCTAGACCATAATGGTCCGAAAATAGGTGTAACAAAAAAATAACGAGCCCTTGTTAGTTAAAAAATTACGGACCATTAATGGTCTAAAGTAATTGTTTTTCAGACAAATAGTGATATGTACACTGGCCGGTTCAACACTCGGCGGGACACATCCTATTAGACCATTGGTTTGAAATAAAATGGAGAAATACTTGTCCCAGTAGCCATTCATCTAGCCATGGCTTACTTCCATTTCCAAACAGCCAGCAACAAGAAGTCTTACCCTCATCTATAGATGATGATATCACCATCTCCTCCTCTGTGTATTTCATTTGTAGCTTATGTAGTTGCTTCCACTTAAGGGATGGAGAAGCATATCCGTCAAAGCGCTTTTTGGAGATTTTTGCTTCCAAATTGAAACAAAATTGAGTTGGTCCTCCACAAGCCTTTAATCACAATTTTGAATAATAATTCTAAACCCACAACATTGGAGAAAAACACAATGCAGAATAATCAAAATTAGGAGGTTCCAAGCAAAGTCAACATTAATAAACCATAAATCTAGAACAAACTTAGCATCCTTCACTTGTCTGAAACAAATGGAAGGAAAGGGGCTCTGCTTGAAATCCAATGAGTTCATGTGTTGGGTTCGTGTGCTGGGTTAGATCTAGGTTTGCGAAGAACCCAAATTTGTCCCAAACCCAGATCATCTGGGTTTGTGCAAACATAGCACTATGTTCGCACAAACCCAGTCACAACAAGGGAGGGGGGAAGAGAAATGTAGTAAAAAATGGGTAGAAGAAAGGTATTGGTAAAGTGCTGGGTTCATGTGGAAGAAGATGAACAAGGGAGGCACCTCTTCCACTTTGTTCGATAATGAGAATAGACGATATCTATGGGTTCATGTGAGAAAAGTAGTTGAAAATGGGTAGAAGAAAGGTATTGGAAAAGTGCTGGGTTCATGGGGAAGAAGATGAACAAGGGAGGCACTTATTTCCAATCTATTTGGTAATAAGTGAGGATAACTTCTAAACAGCTGTCAAACAGCATTAAATCATTTATTTACTATTGAACTGGAAGGGTGTAAATGGGTGTGCTAGTTTTGACTGTACCCATATCATTTTCCTTTTCAGACTGATTCATATTGGCATGAATATTTGATTTTTCTAGTAGTGACAGTGTATTATTTATGACAATATTATAATTACAATATTATGTAAAATTATAAATTTTCAATCATGATGTAATATTAAATATGTATAACATGATATTAATTAAGTGAATACATATAATATTATAAATGATCCTTTAAATAAAATAAATTAATTGTATAATAATATATCATATTATAAACTTATAATGTTTCGTAATATATAACTATAGCATTTTTTGTATTATTTGCGTATTCTTTTATTAACTGCAATTAGAAGCAAAAATTAAATAATTAATTCTTTAGTAGCGTAAAAAGGCCACGTCACCTCCGGCGGAGAGAGCGTAAACTTATGAAAAATATCATTACTTTTTGTTATTATTACTTTTATTTTTAAAATTTTAAATTTCATGTATTTTATGCAATTCTAACTAATTTTTTAATTAATGTTTCATTTTGCCCTCTAAAATAATTTTCTAGCTGCGTCACTACTCACCTACACTAAATGCGGACTTACCTCATCATACAACAAAGATAATGCTTTAAAAATTATTTTATAGGACAAAATGAAACATTAATTAAAAAATTAATTGGAATTGCATAAAATAAATGAAATTTTAAATTTTAAAAATAAAAGTGGTCATATATATATTTTTTGGTTGAAGACTTGAAGGATAATGAAATTTTCTAAAAAAATATTTGAAAATTAAAATTATAATGTTAAAAAACAGAAACAAGTTACAATGTTAATTAATTTAACTAGGACTGATCAGTTAAAAAGTTAAAGGAAAATGATTTATTGACTATGTTTTTTAACAATGAAATCTTAAATCATCATGTACTATAAAAAGTTTGTAAATTATCAATCTGATCTAAAATAATTGTCTCCAATAAACAGAAAATTTTGATAATAAAATAAATAATTAAAGTTAAGAACGACAATAAAATTAAAGAAAAAATATTTATTTCTATTAAAAAATAAAAATAC